AGGGGTCCCGGTGAGGTGGGTTCAGGCAATGACCTGATGGTGCCCTGGCAGCTGGGTGTCACACGGCCACCGCGCACCTTCCCTGGCCGCCGAGCTCCGATTCCTGTGCAGGGAGGGTGTTTGCAGGGAAAGGCTGGTGGACACACCTGTGGCTCCTCACTCGTGTGATGGACTGCTCATGGGGGAACTGCCCTTTGGCTGTACGCGTCAGCCGTGTTCCTTGCCAAAATTCCCCCTTGCAGGCCAAGCCACAGTTGAGCTCTGATTTTGTACGTAACCAGTGCGTTACAGGTGACAAATCACGGGATCAGGTCCTCATGCGCTTACCTAAGGGCCCCTGCACATAGGTAAATTTTGTGAAGGAGGCTAAACCTAAGGACAGCGTTACGTTGCTCGGTGGTGCTGGGAAACCGTTTGGCTCCAGTGTAGATTAGTCTGTCAGCTTCCGTCTCTTGTCTATGACCAGACTTCATGAAAAAAAAAAGACTATTGTATTATATCTGTAACAAAAAGGATCTCACTGACTCTGGACTACGTCAGCTGCATAATCAGGGTCAGGGAACAGTCCTGGGCACCAGGACTCTATCATCTGGGCTGCTGAATTGTCAGAATGGTCTCTGGCCCAGTTTTGGCCTGGGCACTCTCCCAAGCAGTTCCCAGGGCCGGTACAGGTTATAGGACAGGCATTCCCAGCAGGCGGTTAGATGGGACCACCCTGTTTTGTAGGGCAAGAGCGTTCAATAGCATATCAGTGGGTTTGTCCAGGCCAGCTGGCCTCAGGGCCGGAGACCGGTGCCAGGCATATTTAATTTACTAGTAATAGATGTTGCTTCTGTGTTCTCAGTGGTCATCAAAGGGTGGCCGAGCACTTAGAGAGACCTGGAGATGAAAGCCATCGGGAGAGAGGCCACCTGGTCTAGGGTATGATTATCAGGGGCCAGAGAGACCACCCGCAGGGCCCCCACTGCCCTGCCTGCGAGCGCTGCCTGTTCTGGGTGATCTCCGCAGTCCGCGTGGGGGTGTTCGGCCCGGCCATCCGTCACTGTCGGAACCGTATCCAGCCTTGGGCAAACAGCGCTTGTCGCTTTCCTCAGGGCAAGCACGTGCCGCGTACCCCAGGGAGTCTCCTGAGTACCTGGGGGAGATGTGGGCAGGTTATTTTGTTACAATTGCAATAAAAGAGAAAAAAGAAATGTCTTATTTTGGTCAGCAGGCTCCTCGCTGGAGGCAGCTCAGTTCCACTTGGCTGCTTGGATTCACCCGTGGCCCTCACAGCTGCCCCTCTCCTGAGGGCGGTACCCTCTGGATTTGTCTCCTGATCCCTCTCATCTCCATCCATTTCCTGCTCAGCCCTGGCCAGTCCCCACCTTTGTGTGTACAGTGGGGCAGTGGGGAGCTGCCAGCCCTGCTCACGCCCTCACCGCAAGCTGCTGTCTGGAACTGCCAGGCGTCTCCAGCACGGTGTCCCTGCTCCAGGCTTTTAGGTATGAGTGCTCAGAGCTGGTCAACTTAGATACTCGATGCTGCGTTTCCATTTAAACGTCAAAGTAACAGAGCCAGAACTGAAAATCTCAGAAGAAAGAGAAGCAGTCATATGCATCTTATGTGCTTCTTGGTTTGCTCTTGAGAGATCCTCCCCTGTTGAAGCTGATACTAGGTCCACTCAAGGCCAGGCTGAACGCCAACTCGGTAGAAGTGGGTGGGATTTCAATGATGTTAGCAAGATTGTACGAGTTTAGACTGTGTCTGAATGTCCTCTCTGGTCAGAGATCACTTTGAGCCCCCAAACTGTGCTGTGCATCACGTCTCAGACTTCAGTAGGATGGGGGCCTTCGGTGCAGCACCAGCCCAAACATAATCATTCCTGTTCCAGAAGTGTCCTTTGTGTGTGTCACACGGCCATTGCTCCAATATACAGTAGTGCACAGTGAGGATGTCTTAAATTATTGACAGAGCTAAAGGGTGGTCAACGTGCGATTGGCTGCTTAACGGACCTGTGTGAGTAATTAACCCAATATCTTTTATTATCATTTTCTACTGCTACTTGGGAGACTCTCAAAACAGTTAACCCTTCTGATAGCCGGGCTTGGTGATTAAAAGCTTAACACATGGCTTATGCTACACAGTTAATACAGAGTACTTCTGCGGATTGGGATGCTGTTTCTAGCTCCCACAACTCTGATGGCAACAACCCACAGCTGAAGGGGTTAAGAGATGGCCTCACCCCTTTTAGCCACACACCAGTAACACTCATGATACATCTCCCCATATTTTTCACAAGAGATATGGGGGAAGTCAGGTTAAAGAGAAGTACAGTCATCACAAACGTAATATTGTGCAAATATATATCTATGGCAGTGAACAGCGGCTATGCAGTCAAACAGAGCCGTCTGCTCGTCTCCTTGCTAAGGCCTAAAACTACACAGCCAATGCTCATGCACACGCTTTCATTCATTCTTACATTCATTCATTCGTGCAAACCCAGGACCCCTCTCACTTGCAAAAACACCTCCTGCTGACAGCATTGCTGCTTATTCATATCAGGCCTTTGCTGCTGTCATGCTTCATTTTGGAGATGTAATGAGGCATTAATGCTTATCTTTGATGTGTGAACTGTGTCAAAATATCCCGTTCTTATGAGCACTGGATCCATCAGAATCCACCGCAAAATGTGAACAAAATCACCATTGTTTGAAAAATTGACATAGCCCCACTGCTAGAGCGTTTCAGCAGGCAGGCAGGAAGCAAGCGGGTATAGCTCTTACAGCCGCTCAGCCCTTTTAATTGCTTAACCAGGTCCTTCCCTTGTCTCCTTTCGCTTTCTCAAACTCATGCCCAGGCTTCATCCTCTTTTGTTGTCTAAGTCCTCCTATTACCCCACTTACCAGCGCTGCAACAGTGCTCTGATTATGTACCAGGCAGCCCCTGCTTTTCATCACACCCCAGAGATGCCAACTGAAGACCTAGATACGGTTTGGACATGTGGTTTAGGGACGAGAGAGACATTTTTTCCATTCATTCTTTTCTAAGTTTCTTGGAACTGTGTGAGTTTTGTTTTTTTGGGAAGTTCTAGGTAGAAGATACTTCACTGTAAAGTCCCAAACTGGTTAGCAGGCTCCTGTTAGTGTTCACTTAAAACCTGGAAAGCTTTTCAGACGTGACTTGCGTCAGAAGCCCTTCAGTACGTCTAGCTTCTGAAATGGTAGGACTCCAAGCTGAAATGTTTTCTGTTTTAATGTGAAATTTTGTACAATTTGAGCATTCTCTTTTTGTCCTGCTTTTGAACAAAAAGTATATGAAAGACAAAAGCAATAAAAAGACCCTCCATGATGAAATTCGAAAAGAGGCGTAGAAAAAAGGGTTCCAGATGAGTGTGACCAGAGTGACGTTGCAGTATTGAACAAAACGCTGGTGACGTTCGTAAGGGTTTGTGTTGTTTGTGAGAGACCTTGCTGCAATAAACTTTTTCAGACCTCGCTGTATACCTGTGTGTAAAGCATCTGGGTTTTTTGACTGGCAAGAGAGTCTGTTCAGGATTACAGCCCTGTTGCTACCCATATATTTCAATACAGATATCTGTATGGTGAATTCACCTGCTGATCCAGCCTCTAATACAAAAGGTGACAAGCAATAACACGAATCAAATAAAACCCAGTGGCTGTTAGGTTTGCATTAGAAAGAGGGCCGTATTTCCCGTTAAGCAAAATGTATGTAATTTAGTAGCTCAGGTTCACACTTTTTTTAAAAATTGCTGATTATTTTATCTCCCCAACTGTAACAAAAATGAAAAAGTGATCTGGCAGGCAAACTCCATACTTATTTTGAGCTAATAAAATACTGAATGTCATCAGTAGGTTGAATTAACAGAAGTTCAGCAATTGCCTCAAAAGAAATGGCAGGAAAAGTGAGCTGACTTTCTAAACTAGGAGGAGGGAACCGATAATCTAGCATGATATTCCAGTGGCCGGTTTCTAGGAAGTTAACCTGCACTGCTCAACAACACCCACGTCCTTCTGACTCCTGGACGTTTTCCAGCAGACCACTGAAATACCAATAGTTTTATTCTTTTTTTTTTGTTTGAGTCCTGCAAAATTGACACATGGGCTGCATTTTCCAGGATCTAATGTATATCCTGTAAGCATTACAAATGCACAACTACAACCATCTGGGCATACACGCGGAGCGCAGAGTAGTTTTTTGTTTAAAAGTATAATCTCTTAATTGGCCTAGAGGAAGTTGTTTTTTAAACACATAAAAATTGCAAAGCCCAAAGCAGCTGGTGCTGAAGCGGAGGATAGCCCAAGCGCAGCCCGTGGCTCATGCACCTGCAGCTCGGCCTCAGCTGTTCTTCCTGCTAGGGGAGGTCACTGAGCTGGGACGGCGCTGAGCCTGGTGGTGGGAGCTCTACCGAGGTGCACCAGGCCCTGCCGCCTCCTGAGCAGGACCCACACATCCATGGGGTTGGGGGTGGGGGCTGCGGGTGGGAGGTTTTAAGTAGGTACCAATATCCAAAAATATTGCCACAAGATAATTAGGGGAAGGGCAGCCAGGCAGTTCCTCTAGAGCTTTCGCCTCATGCGCCAAATCGCAGAGCAGACGACTGCTTAGACAGTATGTCCTGCAGCATGTCCTTGGTGGATCAGGGCCAAAAAGCTGAATTAAAGTAACTTGTAGTGGAATCACAGGAAAGTTTTCCAAAAAAGGCATGTGATACAGATGGCTTCAGTTGTAACCCTGCTGAAACCCTTCGAAGAAATACAGTTGACCTTTTTTTTTGAAGAATCCTACCGCTTGGATGGGGGCTCGTTCAGACCCTGAATTCATAAGTCACATCTAAAAAACTTCAATTGAACAGTCTGTGCATTTGATTCAACTCCTACTAAAGGCCCCTCCCCTCCCACCCCGCAGAAATCAGGGTAGTTGCTTTAGATCCTAGACTAGCAGAAACAGAAAATACTGTCATGTATTGTTTTTATTTTCTGTCTCTGTTTTTGTATCAGAGTGAACTGGATGAGAACCAAATACAGATGGCTGGAGATGATGTTGGTTTGCCAGAAGACCTTCAGAAAATGGTGGCAGAAGATCAGGTGGAGGAAGAGGACAAGGACTCTATCCTGGGACAGTTGCAGAACATTCAGAATATGGACATGGATGCACTCAAAGAAAAGGCTCAAGCTACCTTCACAGAGATGAAGCAGGCTGCTGAGCAGAAATGTTCGGTGATGTAGAAGAGATGCCACCTCTGGGTGAATTCAACCTTGTCTCATGGGGGCTGCGGGGTGAGGGCCAGCAGAGAACGCCACTGAGCTATGCAGCAGCAAATGTAAATATAAAAGAGAGAGAGAGAGACAGACAGACAGACAGACAGACACTTTGACACCTCCGGGGGGTCAACATTTGGGTGCTGTGACTGCTTAGTGCTAAGTTGGAACTGATCATCTTTTTTTTTTTAACAAAATGTTTTTCCCCATGGAAAAAAATGGCTTAGTAAGCAACTATTTGGGAAAAAAATGTGCCTTTTTTCATTTTTTCAAAAAGTCCTCAGAAATGCTACTAAATGTATTTTCTAACCAAAATTGTGCTTCTGATGTATAACAACATATCTGTTACCGCTCATTTAATACTGTTTTCAGAAAATACATAAATATATATATATATATATGTTATAAACTGTTCCAAACATTTTGAAACAAAACCAATATTCAAATTTCTGCAAGATCTTTTTTTTTTAATTTTATTTTATTTTTGATTACCTCTGCATTAAATACAGAATAAGGAAAAAGCTGAAGCATAGAATCATATAGTTTGGGTCAAAGTGTTATCGCGTGTGGAACTGAGCAGGGCCTGGTAGGAAACCGAGGCTTGGTAACCAGCAGAGGCCCACGAGTGGTGAGCGACGTGGACTTCCCAGACTGCTTCAGCTTCGCAGCCCCTTGGTCCGCAAGTGCAGTGCAGTGGCCCTTTGCTTTGCTGCTATTTGTGCCAAAATCTGGGGCTTGTGGTACCAGCACACAACTGGTACGAGCTAAAATGAGCTCACCATATTTACTGTAAGAGTTAAAAGCATTTAAAAATACCCACACAAAGCCGAAGCATAAACGTGGCCCACCTGGGACAGACTCTGCCCTGGCAGAGCACCTAGACCCCGAGAAAACTCACGGCTTTCCCTGCTGTTAGATCGGGCTGAGTCCCTGGGACCAGCAGTGGTGCCAGGTTTGGCACAATTTTCTTCGCTGTTATTCAGGTTTTTCCTGGGGAAAACTGAGGCGGGTGCGGTGGTGGTCGCCGCCGGCACGCAGCAGGGCTGATGCCAGACGGCGGCGGCG